CGCCACGCCGGAAGAACCGCGCCAGCGTGGCGGTAGTCGAGGGCTGGCTTGTATAATGAGCGACACGCCGACATAGGCGCGAGGATCACCCGAACGCGACGTTCAGGGCGCCCTTTGCTTCCGCAAACCCGCGATGTTGCGGGCCGTGAAGGCGCGGTCGCTTACCGCGTGCCTGCGGACGGGCGCGGCGAAGCCCGCGCCTGTTCGATGGCGACCGGGCGTTCAGCACCCCCCGTCGTCCAGTGGCTTGTTGATGATCTGGGCCGATGGCAGCCTGTCCTTGTCAGCCCGCCTGGCACCGACATGGTAGCGCAGCCCCGCCAGCGAAGGCGGGCACCGTGAACACGTCGTTGAGATACATGGCCAGCGGATCGGCCTGCTTCTCGCCCAGCGCGAACGCCGCCGACGGCGCGGTCGGGGTGAGAAGGTCGTCACATTCACCGAACGCCCGCTCGAAATCGCGCAAGGATCAGCGTGCGGACCTTCTAATAACACAGGTGTAATAGGCGTCACATAGGTCGCCGACAGCACATAGGTCCTGATCAGGATACGGCGCTTGACTCGTCACCGAAGCCAGCGGCGCGGGTCGCGGCATACATGTTCCTGAAGACCGGCGCCTTCCGGGCAACTCTGCGCAGGCCTGCGCACGCCGTCATAGCGGGCGAGGTTGGACGCCTCCTCGGCCGGCGCGATGATGTAATAGGCCGAAAGCGCATACTTCGTGTGCAACAGCGAGACCTCGACGATCTCTGCCTGCATCACGCATCCACGCGATGCCGCCGCTGCCAGCGCGCCTCGATCTCGGCGGGCATGCCGTGACGCGGTATTCCTTCGGCACACCGACGCGTTCTGCCTTTCAGGTCCGCCGACAGCGCGGCTTCCCAGTTCGCCACGTCGAGCTTCAGCGAAGTGGCATCCTTGGCATCGAAGCAGCGCCATCGCTTCCAGCATGACGGCGCAGTCGCGTACGTCGCGCGCCATCGGCCCCGCCTCGGTCGGCGAGGAAGCGAAGGCGATCAAAACGCGAACAGCGGCCATAGGTCGGCGATGCCCGAAATACCGGTAAAGGCGGCGGGCTGGCGGATCGAGCCGCCAGTGTCGGTGCCCGTCGCGCCCGGGCAAGGCCAGCCGACACCGCCGTCGACGACCCGCCGACGAACCGCCGGGGGGGCGACAGAACGGTGGTGTCGAAAGGCGACGCCCGGGGGCAGACGACATTGCCACGCACTGGTCTCGTTGGACGAGCCATGGCGAACTGGTCGAGGTTCAGCTTGCCGGCATGCCCGCGCCCGTTCCACAGATTCTGCGACCGTCGATTCGTAGGGCGGCACGAAGCCTTCGAGGATCTTGCTGGCGGCGGTGGTCGCGACGCCGCCCAGTCGCGAACAGGTCGCTGCATGCCGATCCGGCGCCCGCCAGCGGCGGTTTTCACCGCCGCGCGCGCCGCGTCAGCCGCATCGGCGGCGAGCGCGTGCTCCGGGTTTCGACCAGAAGGCGTTGAGCGCCCGCGCGCCCGCGACCTTGGCGTTAAGCTTCAGCGACTTCGCGCGCCAGAACTGGCCGTCGCGCCGTCGCGGATAGCGGCGATGCCGAATGTGGGTCAGGTCGGTCATTATTCCGTGCATGGGCACCGTGAAGAAGCCATGTTCGGCCTGCGGCGCATTCTGCATGAGGAGGTCGCGGATGCCGCCGTCATTGACGACGTCGTCGCGCAGGCGAAAGCTGGTTGGGGATCACCGCCGTCATCGGCTCGACGCCGCGGGTATCGACCTCCACCTGGCTGCTCGATCCAGCCAGGGATATTGCCGAGTTCAGGGGCGAGGCGCGTCGCGTCCTCCTCGGTGATCGCGATGCGGGCGAGGCTCGCGATCTTCTTCACGGTTGCGGTATCTGGACGTGGTTGCGGCTAGCATCGCCGCGCGGCTTCGCGCAACGCTTTGCCATGTCGGCGTACAGTAGTAGGGGCAAGCGGGGCGTCGGGATATGCAGTTGCGGCAGGGACGTCTCCTGCTGCAGTGCACAACGGGTGATGATGTGGCGCGCAAATTCCTGTATGTCGTGGCGCTCATCGTGCCTGACCATCGCGGCGGCAGCACGCCTATCGGTTGTTCGCAACCAGCTTCCGCTGGTCGACGGTCCCGTCCGATCGTTTCAGGCGCAGGCGGCAACGGCGGCGGACGCGTATAAGGATCACTGGTGTGGCTGGCGCGGCCCGAGCATGCCGGGCAATCCTTTCTGTGGGTCCCCGACCGGCTATGAGCCGGGCAAACCGGGCAAGCCGGGCGGCGGCGCGGCGGTCTTCTTCATCACCCGACCTCCTATATCAGCAAAGGCGCATTGAACGCCCGCTCGACGATCCGAGACCAATGGTCGCGCCGAGCTGTTCCTGCGCGGACAGGCAAGCGCCTTCAACGGATCGGGCGATTATCTGGGCGCCGCGCTGTCGCCGAGGCCACCTTCGGCGCGTTCTGGCCAGCATGGCGGACGCCGAACGCGCGCTGGACTTGGCCTACCGGGATGTCGATGCCGCCTTCACGGCGTTCTGGCATAAGGTCGATCCTAACCGCCTGATCCTCGCGGGGCATAGCGAGGGCGCACTGCACCTGTCGCGCCTGTTGACCGACCGGGTGGCCGGTGCCCGCGCTCCAGCAACCGGATCGTTGCCCTATATCGTCGGCTGGCGATGCTCGATGACCGCAAAACCTACCGCCATGGGATTGCCCGCCTGTGAGCGCGCCGACCAGACAGGTTGCGTGCTTTAGCTGGCAGGATTTTCGGTGAGCCCGCCGACCCGTCGCTGATCCTCGACGTCTTCAGCCAGACCAACGGCTATACCAGCGCGCCCCGCAAGAATGCGGCGATGCTGTGCACCAATCGCTGACCAGCGCCGGGCGTCGCTGCGCCCGCCACCGCCAATCTCGGCACGCTCTACCCCTCCGCCCGATCTCCAGACCGCCGCCATCGTCGCGACGCGAAGTGCCCCCAAATGCGACGGACGCGGTATCTTGACCATCGGCGAGGGGGCCCAAGCGTCAGCCCCTATGTCCTGCCCGGCAGCAATTACACGTATACGACTATCATAGGCCTGTTCTGGGCGAATGTCGCGCCGATGCGGATCGCCGTTTGAAAGCCTTTCGATGAGCCTGATCACCACCGACCGTAGCGCGTTTCGCGATGCCCTGCCCTCTGGCGGACGACTGATCCGGGCTGGATGTCGGCACCCAAGACGATCGGCACCGCACCGTGACGCCGGGTGGAGCTTCGCCAGCCCGGCCACGCTCGTTCGCCGCACCAAGTTCACTAGGACAAAAGCCCTGATCGCGATGATCGCGCAGCAGGGCGTCAAGGGTCTCGTCATCGGCCTGCCGCTCAATCTCGACGGCAGCGAAAGCCCGCGCTCGCAATCGACCCGCGCCTTTGCCCGCAACTGCGCCGACCTTGGCCCCATATTGTTCTGGGACGAGCGCTGGTCGACCGTCGCCGTCGAGCGCGATGATCGAGCAGGATATGAGCGCGCCAAACGCGCCGAGCGGATCGACAACCTTGCGCCGCGCATATCCTGCAGCCGCGATCCGATGCGGTGATGGCCTGATCGCCGCCGCTGCTCGACCGACGGCAAATCGACCATCATTGTATAATATGTAATATATTGGTCTTCCGGTCGCCCCTTTGTCACGCTGCGTCCCTACCGGCTCCCCTCCATTCCAACACCGTGGGGGCCATTAAATGCAATCGTTTTCATTAGTGTTTCGTGCGGCTTTGCTGCTGGGGTCCACGACGCTCGCCATGCCTGCCCCGGCGCAGCAATCGGCCACCGATCCACGCCCCAGCGAGGAGCACCAATCGCGACCAGATCGTCGTGACGGCACGCGCGTACCACCCGCTCCTCGGTCGAGCTGGGTGCGGCGGAAATCAGAAAATTGCTGCAGCGCCAAACCGGTGAAGGCGATCCAGACCCTGCCGGGCGTGCAGTTCGAAACCGCCGATCCCCAGAGGCACATAACGGAGCAGAACATCGCTGTTCGTCCATGGATTTCAACCAGAACCAGCTCGGCTTCACCATGGACGGCGTGCCGCTGGGCGACCAGTCCTATGGCAATTACAACGGCACAACGCCCGCGGCGCTGTTGATCCAGCGAATGTCGCGCGTCCGCCTGACCGCCGGCGCCGCCGATCCTCAGCACCGCCTCAGCCAGCCAATCTGGGCAGCGGGATCGAGACCTATTCGGTGATCCGGCCGCAACCATGGGCGTCCGCTGCCAGACGCTGAGCGCTATGACGCCAGGCCGCACTATCTGCGCATCGACAGCGAAGTCGAGGGCACCGGCGGCACCAATAGCGGCTATCTCGGTCGTCCGGCAAAGGCTCGCGCACGGGAATTCAACGCCCGCCGGGGCGGGTGGCGAACAATGCCAGGATTCGTCCACAAGGGCGGAACAGCGGCGTTGATAGCTATTTCAACATTTTTCCGACAAGGCCGAACCCAATCAGGATTCGGTCGCGCCTAATGCCACGGCGGCACGGGCCCTATTATCGCTCTGCTCTATCGAACTGGCAGGCCGCCCTCGCCTATGTCGACGCCAATGGCGCGCCGCCATGAACAACCGCGCAATATGAACTATTTCGGCGACGCGCAGCTACCGATATCTGGGCTATATCAAGTACGAGCATCGCTTCGGCGATGCGCGGCTGGTGAACCGGGTCTATTATCATCATGACGAGGGTCAGGGGGCAGATCACGGCCCGATCGCGGCCCGCTCCGGCCTGCCAGGCCCCTGTTCGCATCTATTATCCGGGCCCAGGAATCTGAAGCAGGTGTTCGGCGGATCGGGCTATGCGCTGCGCACCACCGAATATGGCATCGACCGTAAGGTCTGATCTCGACTCTCGCCATCATGCGGGCGATCACGAAATCGAGTTGGGCGGTTGGTACGAAGGCATAATCGCAGCACCATCTTCGCCGCTGGTATGCGCGCCGATCGACAACCCGCCCTCGCCCTATGAATGGGCCGATCCGCCAAGCGCCGCCTGACTCAATATGCCGCGATCACGAAATGCGGCCTGATCCAGACGCATGTGGGATCGCTGGCGCGTCCGCCAAAGCGGTCACGGTCGAGGCCGGTTCAAATCCAGCCTGCAATTCGCCGATGGCCCGCGTGCCGACCAGCCGCTGCCGGCGCTGCCTAACACCTCGACCAGCTATCCCGAAACGGCTGAACACCAAAAATAGTTTCCTGCCGGCGGTGGGCGCGATCTGGGACATCACCGCCGACGACCAGCTGTTGACCATATCCAGAAGAATGTCCGCCAGTTCCGGGCCTCGGTCGCGGCCGGCCTGTCGTCCCCTTCATGGTCGGCAGCAGCGGGCCCTTCACCGAATCAGTGGCCTCACCCGAAACCTCCCGGACCTGGGGGCGGGCCTGCGTTCGCGCCACCATGCGCTCGACCTCAACCCGCTGACCCGATCGAAAGGACAGATCAGCGCCTATCATGTCATTTCGACAACCGCCTGCTTCAGATCAGCGCGACGCCGGTCATCGCCTCGGTCATCGGCGGCGTGTCGATCCTTCAGAATATCCACGGCGCATTAAGACCAACGGCGTCGATGCCGCCGCGACGCTGCGCTTCGGCCCCATCATCGATCACAACGCTGTCCTACAACAGCTCGAAATATCGCGACAATTATGTCAGCGGATAACACCATCCTGACGGCGGCAAATATGTGCCCAACACCGCCAAATGGCTGAACAAGACGGTCACGATCAATGACGGTCCGTTCGAGGATTCAGGCGAGTGGCGACTATATCGGCCCGCCTTCGCCACCAGCGATCGGTCGATCGGCGGGCGCTATCTGCTAAATCCGGGCCGGCTACAACCTGCGCGATTGCCAGCCTGCCCGTCAAGGACCTGAAGCTGTCGGTCAGCATCACCAACGTGACCAACCGCAAAAGGGATTTACGAACTGGTCGTCAGCGCCGCCGCCAGCCTGGAACCGCTAACACCCAGCCGCCGCGGATGGGCTTCATCCGCTGTCCCAGGCGCGTTACAGCTTGCCGCGTGCCGGATCAAGCCCAGCGCTCGGTCCGCGCATCGGCTTGCCACGCATGGCAAGAGAGTGCAGCAGACCGACAGGCGGTGACCCCGGATCGCCGCTCGGCCGTCGCCACGCCGCCTCTTGCCCGGCGCCGTCCATCATCACGGGCGTGATGCTGGCGATCGTCATCGTCGCTAATTGGCGGCCCATATCGCAGGCGATGCGGTGCGCGGGCATGAGCAGCAATTCTATACGCTCTATGTCGCGGCCCGACATTCCCCTCTCTCATGCGTTCGATCCTTTGGCTGGCCGACAACCATCCGCCGCTCTTCTATGCGCTGGTCCGCGCGACCGCCAAGCTGGGATCGACGGTCGAGGGCGGCGGGTCGTCAACCTGATCCTGTTCGCGGGACCGCCATCCAGCTCAGCTTGGTGGCTGATCCCGCAGGGCACCGTCGGACCGGTTGGTCTTCGCGATCGCACTGGCCAGCGCGTGGCCGGCGATCGATCGGGCGACGGGTTGCGTTCAATTATCTCGCCTTTGCGGTTGCAGCGGTGGCCGCGGCCGCGTTGATCGGTTTCGATCAGGGGGCACCGCGCGCATCGCCGGGCGGAATGGGTGATGTTGACGCTGGCGCTGCTCGTCGCGCTCAACGTACACCCTCGCGACGAAGCATGATGATCGTCAGCGGGCTGGTCGCCCGCGATGGTATTGCGGCGCTTGGTCGCGCGCGACTGGCAGGCGGCATCCCGCTGTTGGGCGCCGCGACGCTGGCGGCGATCGATCGATGCTGCTCCACCTCGGCCTGTCTTCGGACGGATCGAGGCCAATACGCGCAGTTTTCTGGATCCAGGGCAGGTTTCAGCAGCGCGCGCTGGGCTATCCAGACCGAGATCGTGCGCAACCTGTCCGCCCAACCGCCGATCACGATCACGGCGGGATCAGTTTCGGGATGTGGCCTATCGCAGTTGGCGTGACCGCCGACTGGTGGCGCATGCCGATCTGGCGGGGACATTGGCGCTCCGGATTGGTGCTGGGCTTTGTGCGGCGATGATCGCCATCCATTTGTAGCGCCCTTCATCATCGACCGTTATTCCAGCACTGCATCCGGCCTTGGCGATGATCCTCGCGCTGGGTGCGGCGCGGCGCTGCTCGATCGCGTCTGCGGCCGTGGTCGCCGTAGTACAGCCGCGTTGATGACCTTTTCGGCCGTGACCGCGATCCATCTCAATCTGGGCCACACCTTGGCGCGGCCGAGTTGGTACGGCACGGGCCAAGCGATCGCCACCATCCGGCGAAACTGCCCACCACGAGTGCCCGCTGTCAGCCTGAACGGCAGCTGCCTGTCCTGATCTCTCCCCGCTGAGCGAGAACCGGGCGTTCCTTCCTTCGCCTATCGCATGGTCGCGGCGCATTTCGGCTTTCCTGCTCGCGGCCGCTGGGGATCGCACCATGCCCCGCGACTGCCCGACGCTCTTCTGGACCGAGCATGTCGCGGGCGACCGGTGAACTACGGAAGGGTCGTGTCCCCACTGCGGGACGCTGGCTCCCGATCAGCCGTGCCCAGATGATGCGGATCGGCGATGGGCATGTGCTGGCGCTTTGGCCGACCGGCTACCGCCCCCGCCTGCCGAACCGCCCTTGCCCGAACGCCGTCGGCCGCTACCCGGCAGCTGTGCAGACCTCGGATCATCTTAGCACGCGCTCATTCAGGGTGGCGCCGTTTTTCGCACCGGCATCGGCCGGTATCGACGGCCTTCAACCGCGGCGGGATGTTCCTGCTCGACGAGGCGGAACATTGGCTCCGATCGTGGCGCGACCGACGCCGGACACGCGGCTGGCGGGCCTCACCCCAGATCAACGCGTTCTTCGAACTCGACCCGGACTTTGCTGTCCTTCGAGATCGCGAAGAGAAACGCGCTGAGCGCCGTGGTCAACATGCATGCTGCCCAGTCAGGCGTGAAGAAGGGCGGACGCTGATCGACACGGCGATGACGCTGAACGCGATGCGCGCTGATGTGATCGTGATCCGCCACGGCGAGCGGCGCGTGGTACGCCTGATCGCCGACAAGGTCGACTGCCCGGTGCTGAACGCGGGCGACGGGCGGCATGAGCATCCGACGCAAGCGCTGCTCGACATGCTGACCATCCGCCGCCGCCGGGGCAGCGTGGCGGGGCAGAAGGTCGTGATCTGCGGCGACATCCTGCACAGGCCGCGTCGCGCCGCTCGACATTCTCGCCCTCACCCGCGCTCGCCGCCGAGGTGCGGGTGTGCCCCTTCGACGCTGATGCCCCTGGGATCGACGCGCATGTTCGTCACCCCTTCACCGATTTTGACGAAGCGATCAGGGATGCCGATGTCGTCATGATGCTGCGCGTCCAGAACGAGCGGATGGCGGGCGGCTATATCCCTCCACCCGCGAATATCGGATGCGCTACGGCCTGACCGCCGAGCGGCTCAAGCGCGCCAAGCCCGGTGCGCTGGTCATGCATCCGGCCCGATGAACCGAGGCGTCGGGAGATCGACTCGGAGGTGGTGGGACAGCCCCGCAATCGGCGATCACTGAACAGGTGGCAATGGGCGTCGCTGTGCGCATGGCATGCACAGACGTGCTGACCGTCAGGCCCTGGCTGGAGGCTGGGCATGAGCGTCACCGCCTTCACCAATGCCACGCTGATCTGCCCGGTCGGCGGTGAGATCAGGGCCAGACCCTGCTGGTCGAGAACGGCGTCATCACCGGCACCGGCGACGCTCCGAGGGTGCGACCGTCATCGACTGTGGCGGCAAGACGCTGGCGCCAGGCATCGTCGATCTCGGTGTGTTCCAAGGTCGACCATAACCGCGCCGGTATCGTTTCGGATCAGGTTGATGCCCGACCAGTCGCCGGTGCTCGACGATCCGGGCGTCGTCAGCGTGCCGCGCTGATCGGTCGGCCGGACCTGTGGATCCACCGATCGCGGCGGCCACCCGCTCGCTGGCGGGGACCGATCTGCCGAGATGGCGGTCTGCGTCTCCACGCAGGCGCGAAGGCGGTCGGCACCGGGCGCGGCTGGATCGCCGATTCGGGGGTGATGCCCGCGTGCTCGCTTAGCACCGGCGATCTGGGCCTCACCGTCATAGCCCATGCCGAGGACGGTGGCCTCGCTGCCGATGGGGTCGCGACGCTGAGGGGCGAGACGGCAAGCCGTCTGGGCCTGCCCTCCGCTCCCGCCATTGCCGAGTCGCTCGCCATCGCGCGCGACCTGATGCTGGCGGAGGAGACGGGCGAAGCTCCATATCCGACAGGTGACGACGGCGGCGGCTTCGACCTGATCCGCGCGGCCAAGCGTCAGGGGGTGAAAGGTGACCTGCGGGATCACGCCCGCGCATCTCCATCTTTCCCGATATCGCGGTCACCGATTTCCGGACCTTCGCCGCTTCTCCCCCTCTCCGGGACGAGAGCGACCGGCAAGCGGCTTTGGCCGCGGTCGCGGACAGGACAGTCGATGTCATCGGCTCCGGCAATACGACCCGCACGGGCCCGAGGCAAGCGCCTGCCCTTCGTCGATGCTGAAGCGGGCATGGCTGGCGAGTCGCTGCTGCCGCTCGCGCTGATGCTGGTGCGCGACGAGCGGATCACCCTGTCCCAACTGTTCGCGCTGCTGGCGAGCAATCCCGGCCAAAGGTGCGCAGGTCTCGACACGGCACGCTGGAGCAGCGAGCAAGCCCGCCGACCTGATGCTGTTCGATGCCGACACGCCATGGATGGTGTCGGGCGACGCCTTCGCCTCGGCTGGGGAATACGCCGTTCGATGGCTTCCCGGTTCCAGGAGCCGCGCAAAGCGCTTATGGAAGGGCGGTCGAGATTTTATACCCTTTGCGCCCAGCAAACGCCGCCCCCACGCTTCAATTAAAAAGGCCTCCCCAAGACATCTTGGGAGGCCCTTTCTAGCCGCGACGCGGGACCCGCGCGGGCCGCCCTGCGTCGGGCGCGGCGAATAGCGGCGCGGGCCGCCGGGACCGCCGGCCGGACGACCGCCATCGGACGACCACCGCCTGGCCCCACCGCGACGCGGGCTGCCATTCGATGCGCCACCGGCAGGGGCCATCCGGCCTGCTCGATCGCGATATCGTCCTTGGCATGATCCGCCTCGGTCCGCTTCAGCGCGGCGACGAAGCGCGACGCCAGCGCGGTCGGCACCTCGAACAGCATCTCGTTCGGCTGGATGCGGATCGCGCCGATCTCGTTGCGGGTGATGTGCCGCGACGGCAGATCATCAGCAGCAACCAGCGCGGATCGGCATTCTGGCGGCGGCCGACGCTCATCCGGAACCAGACGGTGTCGTCCGAAGCCCTCGCGACGCTCCGCGGCGGCGGTGCATCGCCCTCGACCAGTTCCTCGGCACAGGGCAGCGCGGCGCGGTGCGCGCGGACCAAAGCAGCGGCGATGTCCTCGGCCGACTTACTCGGCGAGCAGGCGCGTCGCCAGTTCGCGATCAGCCTCCGTCCACCTCGACAGGGGGCGAGCAATGCGGTCAGCAACCGCTCGCGATCCTGTTCGCGAATTTCCTCCAGC